TATTTCTATATGTGGCACAGCACCAGAGTTAAGTTAGTGTTTTTCAACATTTTGACAAGCCGAGCTCAAAAGGTTTGCCATCCCTGGGTTAGGTACTATTATTATCCCCATTTTACATATAAGAAAACTAAGACACAGAGAAAGTATATTGGTAAACAGGAATTTAAACCCAGATAGCCTCTATATCTAATGTGAAGACCTAAATTTTAAAAAAAGGGAGGAAGGAGAAAGAAAGAAAAAAAAGGAAGAAGGAGAAGAAGGGAGGAAGGGGAGAGAGAAATATAGGGAGGAAAGGAAGGAAATAGGGGGGAAATAAACCCAAAATATTAATAAGGTGTCTTTCCATGAATGAGATTAGATGGAATGTTTTAATTAATTTTTATATTTTTCTGTTTCTACAATGAACAGATACTACCTTATAATGCAAAGAACTATATTTCAGAAACTTACTCAGATAATACCTCCAACACACTGTTATAAAAGTCTTTCTGTGCTATTTTATAATAAATTTTGTCAGCATGCTCTTTGGTTAGCAGAATTTCCTTCATCTGTATTATATCAAATCCAGCCTCTTTAATACGGTTGAAGATCATCTCTAGAGAAAACAGATATTTGCTCATCATACAGATTGCCTCCACTTTTGCTCCATGTTCAAGTAGATTGAAATAACTAAGGATGGTAATAGCTTTATTTGCATACTGTGGTTTTAAAAGGCAAAACTATGCTAAACTAAATTGAATTTGAAAAGCACCAGACTGACATTCAGAAGAACTTTAATAAGTTATTGTAGGTGTTTCATCTCGGAGATACATCTTTCCAGAAACCACCTGAATCATCGAGTGGACTATGAACGCGGGAGAGAAAGGGACCAGCTCCTGAGCTAAAAGTTAAGACATGTTTCATCTCTGCTACCAGGGCCAAGAAACTTCTTGCTAGACCGAAACTGAAGGTGAGAGCCAATCTGAACTCTTCCTCCTGAAGTAGAAGGGAGCTACTGAGGGAATTAAATCAAGTAAAAATCTTGTCAAAGTTTCACCCACAGCTTAAACTTGAGTGGCTATCCTCTGGCTGTGTTCAGAACTGGCATTATTCCTTCAACTTTTCTGTAGTGTGAAAAATTTCACTAAACTTGAAGAAAATGTACACATTGTCTTTCATTGTTAAATATTTACCTCTTTGTGCGTGTGTTGCCTGAGGTTTAATCACTGCTAAAGTGTTTTGAGGAGGAAAGAAATACTGGATTTCCCTTTCAGCAGCTTCTAGTGAGTCACTTCCATACAACTGGTTGATAGGCAGGTTTTCCATTGCAAATTGTGCACACAAACTTGAGAAAAGAAACAAGTTAAAAACTATTATGGCATAACATCATAACATAACATAGAGCACAATATAACACTATATAAATTGTTCAAAATTATCAAACAAAAGCAACTCATCCCTGATCTAGACATAGTTAAAAAGTAATTAATTACAGAATGGTCTGGGGCATGTGACTTCACTTTAAGGATGTAATAGTCTTTAGAAAGGAAGAAATAAAGACATAAATGAAAGTAAAGGAGGGAGGGAGGGAGGGAAGGAGGAAAGGAGGGAGGGAAGGAGGAAGGGAGGAAGGAAGGGAGGGAGGGGGAAGTAGGGATAAAGGAAGGAAGGAATCATTAGTGGATGATATAATTGTTTTGGGTTGGTTTTGTGTGTGTTTGTGTGTGTGGTTGTTTTTTGTCAATCCTTACCAGAGGATATTTTTCCATTGATTTTTAGAGAGAGTGGAAGGGAGGAGGAGAGACAGAGAGAGAGAAACATCGATGTGAGAGAGACACATCGATTGGTTGCCTCCAAAATGGGCCAGGGATCGAGCCTGCAACTGAGGTGCATGTCCTTGACCGAACTCGAACCTGGACCCTTCAGTCTGCAGGCCAAAGCTCTAGCCACTGAGCCAAACCAGCTAGGGCATGGTATACTATTAATTATTTACATAGAAAATCCAAGATGATCTACAGCCAGTTAGAACTAGCAAGATAGTCAGCAGAAATTTCTAGATTCAAAATTCAACCATGTTCCTATATGCCTGCAATAATCAATTAGAAAATATAACTGGAAGAAAGTTCCGACTCATAAAAGCAAGAAAAACTATGCTACTTGAGAATAAATCTAGCAAAAGATGCAAGAGACCTTTACGGAGAAAATTGTAAAAAGTTACTGAAGGACGTGAGAGAAGACCTGGAAAGATGGAGAGATATAACATGTTCATGCATGGGAAGATTCAGTGTTACGCAGATGTCAGTTCGCCCCAAGATTCAGCTATAAATTCATTGCGATTCCGATCCAGATCCCCATGGAGCTTTTCAAAGATCTGACAAACTGAGTCCCACATTAATCTAACGCAGTTAAAGGCAAAGAAGAGCCAGGATAAAAGAACTCGGGGAAGGAACCTTCCCAAGTAGATGTAAAGACTCACCATAAAGCCACCTGACGTTAGAATGCGGGGAGAGGCATGCAAGACAGACAGATCCATCCGTGGAACAGACCGGAGAGCTCCGAGGCCCTCAAGCATCTGTGAGGACTTGGTCACAGGGGCTGTGTGCCTCAGCAGGGGGGACGGTGATTATTCAACAAATGGTGGCACAATTGCTACCTCCATGGGGGACATTCCTAATCGGATCCCTACCCATTACCACACCTAAAAATAAAGTCCAGAGACATCAAACACAAAACTTTAAAATGGGCATGAGGAAATGCAGTTGAATACCGTCACGATATGGCGCTAGGCAAAGAGTTCCTAAACCAGCGATTCTCAACCTGTGGGTCGCGACCCCTTTGGCGGTCGAACGACCCTTTCACAGGGGTCACCTAAGACCATCCTGCATATCAGATATTTACATTGCGATTCATAACAGTAGCAACATTACAGTTATGAAGTAGCAACGAAAATAATTTTATGGTTGGGTCACAACATGAGGAACTGTATTTAAAAGGCCAGAAGGTTGAGAACCACTGTGACCTAAACAAATAGCAAAAGATAGAAACATAATAGAAAAAAAAATAAATTTGGCTGCATCACATACTCACATTATTGTCTGCTGAAACCATCACGGAGCAAATTCAACGTGCAAGCAACACATTTGGAGAAGATAGCTCTGACAGTGTAGAAATAGTATTCGGAATACACAATGCCCCTCCATCTCAGAAGAAAATGGCAAGCTACCTGATAAAAAAAA